TGAAAAGGACGGCTGGGATTAAAGACGAATGTTAAGATAGAAATGTATGTTACTTTAGAATAGATAATGTATATAAAATTTAATGTATATGTAGAGATAATGAATTGATTGTAAAATATGGTATAATCTGATAAGAATGTATATACTGGAATGTCACGTCAAATCCAATGTTTCTTTTTAATTGTTTTATAAATAAAAATTTCAAAAAAAAAAAAGAAAAAAAGAAAAGAAAATGCAATGCCTTGGTGAAAGAGCCCATAAAGAGGCATAATATTAGGAGAAAAAATCTACAAAGCAAACCTATGCTAGGGGAGTGTGGGCCAAAATGAACGGAGAGAACGGCACGTTCAAATCTGCTCAACCTGCGGGGAGATGAACGTGAACTGAAGTTTAGAAAAACGAGCCGTGGGAATTGCTTTTTTTTTTTTTTTTAAAGATCAGGTGAAGGATTTATTTTGCTTGGAAAGGAGGCCTGCCTGTAATTCAGAATTAAGCAGTGGTGGGATTCAAATGGGTGAACAACCGGTTCTCTGCGGGGATGCCACTTTCGGAAGTCCGTTCTGGGCCTGGGCAACAAAAAAATTAGCTACTGGTTCTGCCGAAGTGGTGCGAACCAGCTGAATCCCACCACTCTATCTATCTATCTATCTATCTATCTATCTATCTATCTATCTATCTATCTATCTATCTATCTATCTATCTATCTATCTATCTATCTATCTATCTGAGCGATTGGTTTGGACAAAACTCAGCAGCACTTTTTCGTGCGGCTGCTGATAAAAACAGGATCGCCAACATGATCGCCAACGTCCGATAACGGATATGGCACAAGAAGAAGAATCTATCTATCCATCCATCCATCCCTTATCTATCTATCTATCTATCTATCTATCTATCTATCTATCTATCTATCTATCCATCCATCCATCCATCCATCCATCCCTTATCTATCTATCTATCTATCTATCTATCTATCTATCTATCTATCTATCTATCTATCTATCTATCTATCTATCTATCTATCTATCCATCCATCCATCCATCCATCCATCCATCCATCCATCTATCTATCTATCTATCTATCTATCTATCTATCTATCTATCTATCTATCTATCATCTATCTATCTATCCATCCCTTCCAGAAGTCCATTCTGGGCCTGGGCAACCAAAAATTAGCTACTGGTTCTGACGAAGTGGTGCGAACCGGTTGAATCCCACCACTGGAATTAAGCCATGCAAAATTGTCTCCTTGATATCAAGTGTCTACACCTGCGGACTTTATTATGAAATCTTATTCTTAATTGGCATAGGACAGCTGGAGGCACTCCAGATGACGTTGTTTTTGCGGATGTTTTTCCCCTCTGCCTCTTCTGTGCTTCCCTCCCCATAAAGCAGGGGTCTTCAAACTTGGCCCTTTGATGACTTGTGGACTTCAACTCCCAGAATTCTGGGAGCTGAAGTCCACAAGTCATCAAAGGGCCAAGTTTGAAGACCCCTGCCATAAAGCCTATTTTTAAAGAAAAGAGTTGTCCCTTGAACTTGGAAGCAATCCTAAATTTGTCCTACCCACCCTCCCATCTTAAGTAGCTCCATCAACCCACAATCCTGTCAGATCTGGGCTGCAAAATTCAGATGATCCAGTAGATGGCAGCAAAAGGTCAGAGCAGTCTTTCTCAACCTAAGCACCGGGCTGGCTGGGGAATTCTGGGAGTTGAAGTCCACGCCTCTTAAAAATTGCTAAGGTTACTTCGCCGCTGTCTTGTAGGGGACTGGATCAAAGTTTAGCAGCCTTACTTTATGTCTACTTTGATCAAGATAGTACAGGGAGTCCTCGACATACAGCCACAAAATTTCTGTCGTTGAGAGAGACACTTGTTAAGTGAAATTTTTGACCCATTTTACGACCTTTGTTAAGCAACTCGCTGCAGTTGTTAAGTTAGTGACACGGTTGTGAAGGAATCTGGCTTCTCCATGGACTTTGCCCGAAGGTCGCAAAAGGGGATCGCACAACCGTAGCAACGGTCATAAATATGAATCCGTTGCCAAGCGTCCGAATTGTGATCACACGACCGCGGGGAGGCTGTAAAGTTCGTCAGCGCGAAAAACGGTCGTCAGTCCCCTTTTCTAGCGGCGTTCTAACTTTGAATTGTCACTTACAACGCACTGTTGTAAGCCGAGGACTGCAGACTGTGTACTGCAGGTCTGTTTTTTACAACTTGGCTCGAGATTTATTTATTTTTTTAATCAGAATTAACGCTGTTTGTTTATAAGAATGTGCTCATTGCTTCCTGCCCAAAGAACTGCCTTTTGTAGCCGCGTGGCTTCTTTCTCAACTCTCTGACCCCCAATTGCTCTGCCATAAATGGTCATCCTTCCTTGCTGACGAAGGAGATGGTCCACCCCAGCAGGCCTCATCCTAAGAGCCAAGAAGGATGAGCTTTTCTGAGTCATGGGAGTCAGAAATCAGCTTCCCTCTACATGTAGTCCCCTAACTCTCAGCTTCACTTCAGAGCCTTTTTTTTATTTATTTATTCACTTATTTATATCCTGGCTTTCTTCTTTTCACAAATAAGGAAGTGACTAGACAGTCACTGATCTGAAATGGTATAGGTTCTCCTGCTTGAGCAGGGGGCTGGACTAGAAGACCTCCAAGGTCCCTTCCAGATTCCATTCCATTCCAGATTCTATTCTATTCTGTTCTGTTCTATTCTATTTTCTATTATTATTCTATTCTATTATTATTCTGTTCTCTATTCCATTCCATTCTATTCTATTCTATTCTATTTTATTCTATTCTATTCTATTCTATTTTCCATTATTCTATTCTATTCTATTCTATTCTATATTATTCTATTCTATTCTATTCTATTCTATTCTATTTTCTATTATTATTCTATTCTATTATTATTCTGTTCTCTATTCTATTCTATTATTATTCTGTTCTCTATTCTATTCTATTCTATTCTATTCTATATTATTATTCTATTCTATTATTATTCTGTTCTCTATTCTATTCTATTCTATTCTATTCTGTTCTGTTCTGTTCTAAATTCTATTCTATTCTATTCTATTCTATTCTATTCTATTCTATTCTATTCTATTCTATTCTATTCTATTCTTTATTTTCTATTTTCTATTTTCTACTCTACCCTAACCCTAACCCTAACCCTAACCCTACCCTACCCTATCATATCCTATCCTATCCTATCCTATCCTATCCTATCCTATTCTATCCTATCCCTCTTCTGCACAGGCCCACCTCTGTGGGAGAGAGGATTTCCCCAGCATGGAAGGCAAAGAACTGACCAGAAGAGACTCACCCGTATTTCACAAAGTCCAAGTGATTGCCTTTCTCTCTGTGTCCCACGGCTTCCTCCTTCGAGTGGAGAGGGGCTGGGACTTCTGAAATGGAAGAGCAGGAGGCACAGAGGTTAAAGAGTGGAATCTCTGGGATTCGGTCAAGGCCTCTCAGACGAGGTCACTGATGACCAGGGAGTGAAGGTGACCAAATGCACAGCTGCGCTGAGATCCTTAAGAGATCTGAGAACCAATTGCAGGCATTGAAAAAGTGGCT